GGGCACGGCTAGCGGAAAAAAATAGGGAGACTGTAACAGCTTCACTCTGTCTCGTGTTCAAGGGACGCGGCCGCCAGTTTGGCACCTCCATTAATCAAATCAATTAACAATCTCCTCCTCTGAGAAAAAAAAAAACCTTTCAAATCAGGGATTATGATATGAATACATGTTACTGTGTTGTAAATTTCGAAACATTTTGAAGGTTTACTAAGTTGAGTCGAATGTATGCGGGACGGAAGAACTCTTCCCTGACTCCAAAAAAAGCGGCAAAGCCCGCAGAGAATTCCAATTATTCAGATGCGTGCCGTCTTTGTGGCATTAACTGTAAAATTTCAGTTGGAAATAAGAACAGCCAACGGAGCTTTCAGCCATTTCCTTCGCCAAAACGAAACTTTGATATATTAAACTCTTGCCAAAACCAGTTGGAAGAACCGCCAAAACATCTTTCCCTTCGAGTAAACGAGAAACGGCCTCCTTTTGCTCGCGCATTAACAAAAATCCTCCAAGACAAGAAGCAGACAGACGATCAAAATAAAAAATAAAAAATTCTCTTGAAATCGATGCCATTTTGGCCTTAGCCGCGAAGTGATGAATGTCACTTTCTGTCACTCAAGTTGTCAACGCTCTGCTACGCTCTGATGAACTCTACTGTCCCTTCGACCAATCAGGTGTTGCCGTTGCTGGATCAACTAACGCAACGAACACCATAGAGAGTGAAGCTGTTACAGTCTCCCTATGTTTTCCGCTCCGTCACCCCCACGCTATTAACCCCACCGCCACTACCCACGGGAATTTTGTACTCTGCCCAGTTTCGCTCGCATCAAGAGACCAAGATGGCCGCCCTTCGAACTCAACGATCGACATCTACGATCTTACGGAAAAACAGGGGACTGTGAACAGTCTACTTGTGTATGGACACTAGTAAATAATCCAGTTGGGACAAAAACGTATTAGTTCTTCTCTAACCTCAGTGAGTAAACATGACAAGATTTAATAAAAACCGTTATAAGTTTTAGGAGGTTCTTGACCCAAACAGAAGACCATGGAAACTCTATTAGTGCTTTCTTAAAATACAAAAAAAACTTCCAAAACGATCCATCCACTTTAATGTGACAATAACTCTCGTTCCAAAGGAAATCTTCATGCTGTTTTTAATGTTCTTTTAGGGCAAATCAACCAATCCCAGTCACTCTTCACCTATGCTCCAAATGAAAGTGTGGATACCTTTAAAAACACTAGTTTCGTTCCCATGTTTGCGGATAACATCAGGTGGCAAAACGACAGTTTAAGAGTAAAAGCTGAAGAAGAATGTGGTGAAGATTACGAGTGCCTGTTTGATGTGGCCTCTACAAACGATCTGTCTGTTGGCGTGGTAACCAAAGATATCAGCATTCAGTTGGTCAACGAATCGAACGCTCTTAGTAAGTCAGAAAAGGGTTATTCCACTCTTGTATTGTAATGTGTTTCAAACTTTTCGCCCTAGTTAAAATGGGTTACCGTTTAGGCGAGGAAAGAAAACTGCCCAGGTAGAAATTGCTGCTATACAGGTCAATCTCTAAACTTGGAAAAAATAGCTCTCACTTGCTGAGCTGTATATACTTTGTTTCCGGTTTCCATTTTACATAGTTGGTTGATGAGTTATATAATTGCTTTATCTTCACACCCTTCCTTTCAATATTGCTTTTGTAGACAACTTCCCACCCAAGATAGTAACCGAATCAAATGTGATAAATGTCACACTTCATGAAACAGCTAAGCTGAATATCACTGCTGTGGATAACGATACCATAACATTTCGTGTGATTAACAAGCCTGCTGAAGCTACAGTGAACCAAAGTGGAAACGTGCTGTACTTTANGTGAAGATTACGAGTGCCTGTTTGATGTGGCCTCTACAAACGATCTGTCTGTTGGCGTGGTAACCAAAGATATCAGCATTCAGTTGGTCAACGAATCGAACGCTCTTAGTAAGTCAAAAAGGGGTTATTCCACTCTTGTATTGCAATGTGTTTCACACTTTTCACCTTAGTTAAAATGGGTTACCGTTTAGGTAAGGAAAGAAAACTGCCCAGGAAGAAATTGCTGCTATGCAGGTCAATCTCTACACTTGGAAAAAAACAGCTCTTACTTGCTAAGCTGTATATACTTGGTTTCCGGTTTTTATTTTTCATAGTTGGTTGATGAGTTATATAATTAAGTTATTTTCACACCTTTCCTTTCAATATTGCTTTTGTAGACAACTTCCCACCCAAGATAGTAACCGAATCAAATGTGGTAAATGTCACACTTCATGAAAGAGTTGAGCTGAATATCACTGCTGTGGATAACGATACCATAACATTTCGTGTGATTAACAAGCCTCCTGGAGCCAGAATGAACCATAGAGGAAACGTGCTGCACTTTACATGGAATGTTACTTCGTCGCAAAAGGTAGGCTACAAGCTATCTTCTATACATAGTAAACGTTGGGGACATTAAAAGACGAGTTTGACATAAAAAAAAATGTTTTACGCTCAAAATTAAAGGAATTGAAAACAGCGACTATCTTTTACACGTGGGGGAGCTTAGTTTCTTAATCTCTTTTTATAACTTAAACTGTTTGACATAAGTTTTTGCCGAAATACTAGTTTAACAGGTTGGGAAAAATCCTAATGAGTAACAATCCAAACGAATTGTTAAGAATAAAAAAAAAAAAAAAAACTGAGAAAACAACGACCGAAGAATTTGAAACTTTTTAGATTGTCTGAGACAGTATCTCGGTCTTGCTGTGAGGTGTCGTAGACACGATTTCTTGCCAATGATGAATGATTTGTTTGTAAAATTCAGGAAGACGGACATTAAGATCAAGAAAGTTGTTGTCATAATTACATTGAAAGAGCTCAGTGCCGCCGTCAGTAGAGAGAAACGATTTTGGAATATACTTCCACGGTGCATCTGAGTCGGAGCACAACCGTTTTACCCAAGTTAGTTTCAAAGCCTTATCGAAAAGAACAAAATCTTTCATGCCAAGACCGCCATTCGATTTCTTCTCGATGAGGGTTGTCTTTTTTATTTTGGTGGGTTTTTGCTTCCAGATAAAATCGAACGCTATTTTATTGACCTCTGTTGCAAAGTTTTTTGGATTCTCCAAAACACTGGAGATGAATACAAGTTTGGAAAGGGCTAACGTCTTAACAATATTTATTCTACCGTATATAGATAAGTCTCTTCGGGACCAGACCCTTAAGGTTTTCTTTAGGGATCCTAATTTTTCAAAGAAATTTTTCTTATGAGACAATTCAATAGTTGTAAGTAAAATGCACACCGAGCGCGTAAACAGGATCATCGCTAATTCGGAGGTTGCAAATTGCGTCTTTCCTATGGCGCATGGAGCCAAGCCATAGCATTTCTGACTTTGCCTGATTTATTTTTAGGCCAGAACACTTTTCAAACAGTGAAAGTAAATCAAATAAATTAGAAACTGACTGGACATCAGCAAGAAGGGCAGTTGTGTCGTCAGCATATTGCGTGAGCTTGACCTCTTCATTTCCCTGGATATGTATGCCCTTGATGTCTTTTGACCGTTTTATACTTTCGGCAAGAAGCTCCATAGCAATAACAAAGAGTATGCCTGAAAGGGGACAACCCTGACGGACACCACGTTCTAAGTAGAAGTGTTTAGAGGCAACGCCATTGTTAATGACGCAACTAGAGATGTCTTTTTAGAACACGCTGATCCATTGCCGGAGATTTGGTCCAAAGTTGAAAGATTCAAGGCATTTATGGATAAAGTCCCATTTCAATTGAATCAAAAGCTTTTTCGAAATCTAAGAAAAAAGTTATACCTCGTATATTTTTAATTTTTGTGAAGTCCATTGTGTCTGCTATTAGTCTGATACTTTCTCCAATGAATCTACCCTTTACGTTGCCAGACTGACAAGGATGTATTACGCTTGGCAAGATCTTTCCCAAGCGAAGAGCAATAGTTTTGGTCGCACTTTTGTAGTCAACATTAAGTAGCGTTACTGGTCTCCAATTTGTTAAATATTCCGCGTTCTTATTCATTTTTGGGATTAAAGAAATAATACCTCGATGTTGAGAGATAGAAAGTGATCCGTGTTGAAATGCATAATTAAAACTTTCCACCATGAATTTTTTGACAGTGTTCCAAAAAAAGCGATAGAACTCTGAAGTGAGGCCATCTGTACCTGGTGTTTTATTGCTTTCCATTGTCATAAGCGCTCGTTTACATTCATCGATAGACATAATACCTTCGCAAATTTTTGCAGTTTCTTCTGATAATACATTTTCTGTATTAAAGAATTCGATAAACTCCGAGCCGTTCGGATTCGTGTTTTTTGATGTATATATCTGTTTAAAAAAGCGCTCTTCCTCTTCAAGAATCTCTCTCGGTTCGGTTAATTTTGCGTGATCATTGACTTTTAAGGCCGTTATATGTTTTTTCCTTGGTTTTTTTTTTTCTAAATTGTAGAAATACTTACTGTTTTTCTCGCTATGTTCATACCAGCGCGCTCTGCTACGTATAATCGTGCGACGTGTCTTAACGCTTGTTATTTTTGAAAGCTTGGTTTTAATTCTTTCTTATTCACTCCTTAGGGAATCGCTGTACGCTGTCTGGAGCCTGCCCTCAATAAACTATTGTTGAAATCTTTTAATCTGATAAAATAAAGAGATGTGCTATGGAACTTGGCATTCTAAAGAAAAAACCTCGTATGTACGCGAAGAACATTGCGTGTCATTTTGTTTCGTGAAGATCATTTACCTCAAGTTCTTTCAAACATTTCTACGTTTGATCAAAACAGCATTTTAAAACCCTTTTTGAAAGCCAGCAGAAATCCTTTTAAATATAAAAAGAAAGCCAGAGCTTTCGCTTATAATTTAGTCTTCTGGACATTACAACTGCGTTCAGCTAGATTTTTTAATCAAATAATTGTTATTTTGATGAGTTACAGTCATGGCTGAGATCGCGAGCCCACGACTGCTGAAATATATTTGTTATGTCTTCGATTAACGAAAATTGTTCCGGCTAGTTGCTAATTTTAAAGTTCTATTTATCTTAATTTTCGCAGCTTTTCCGTGGCAAACCAATGAATCAGAGCTAGAGTGGCATAGATTTATTGGGGAAACAGCCGACAGACGACAGCTGCAGAATCGAAGTTTGCAATTGCTTAGATTTCCAACCATCAATTCACGAAACTCAGATTCAAGAGATGGCATGTTTATTTTTTTAACTGATAACCGAGATTTATAACCTTTACTGATAGTTAAAAAATGGGCTGAAATTGTAACCGATTATTTGAGAAATCAGTGAAAATTTAAGCAATAACTGAAATTCCCCATCGAAATCATCAATACACAATTTCTTGAAATCTCATGAAAGAGTTGACGTGCATGGGGGCGGGAAAAAAAGAAAATCACGGATGTAGGTGAGTCAGTGAGGACATGGTGCCTCATCCTGTCGAGCGACGATCATTTATCTTCTTTCAGACATGTCTACTTTTGGTCGTATTCTGGATTTTGAAGACTCTTTTAAGAGCCGACAAAAGTACTTTCAAATCTGAAAACAAAACAGCTAGGGCTTCCGCTCATAATTTAGATTTCATACAGAGCATTAGAACTCTTACGCCATTTCATGATCACTTAGTCGTAAACAAATGATAAAACAGTGGCTGCAATCGCGTTAAAATGTATTTGCTATATCTCCGATTTGTCAAAATGTTCCCATTTAATCGTGAATGTTTAATGGAGTTCTTGTCTTCCAACTTAAATCTTTCACCTTTTAACTGAAAAACCATTGATCAAAGCGGCTGAGATTTATTGGGCAAACAGACCATAGTTAACAGGACTAGAAATGTAATTACGCACTTGCACAATAAAGGGCCGTTGTAAGCAAAATCTCATTCTGACGTGTCATTTGTCTCAAGGAAACTTTGTCATATACATCGAGCCAAGTAAAAGCTTTCAATAGGTTCTAAGCGACTGCCGATCGTTGGTTCGGACTTAAAAACGTTCAAACGCAAATAAAGCTGAGCAATTACAGACATCAAGGAAGAAGCATTCATTTTCAACATTGCTGGTAAGTAATAAACTTGTAGATTTTCCCCGAGTAATACAGCCAACCCAACGACAGTTCAGTTTTATTTTCAAGGAACTACGCCCTATGTAGCTTTTCGAATTGCAGCAAAAAAAAGTTGTACGTTATGCTAGCTCAAGGAGCTCATATGAGCTATAAACGGTTCAAATTGATCTCAGAAAAAGATATTTTACTTCGTCTTTAAAGAAACCCCATTAGTTCATCAAGTACATCGAGTTCGACTAGTAAATGATGTTTCCCGAATCGGGCAGATTCCGGTTAAGAAAAATATTTTAGGCCTAGGTCATCCAACACAAATCATGACAATTAAAAAAGAAAAACCTTGGTCGCGTTTTGAAGCGGTGATTGCATCGACGCTTAAAAAAGAACCCCTAAAATTCAAAGTTGCTCTATATAAAACGATTTAAAGAAAAGTTCAATAAATGACGGGTTGTTACCATCTCAGTTTCAGGCAAAGCCGGATGAAAGATGGAACTGACCCTCCCGTTATTATTTTTTAAAATTAAAATTTCATAAAGATAAATTGATAGATAAATTGGAAATCTGTGACGGAAAAAGATTTTAATGAAATAAAAAGTGTAATCGTAAGCGTTTGGCTTTCCGTTTTCAAATTGCGTGCCCAAATTCTATGTCGCGTTCATTTCGCCATTCAGCCATCGTTCGCTACAACTTAGGTAGAAGTTACTCGATGGCCGGACCACCCTTCTACAAGATGGTAATCTAGATGTTCTATCGAGCCCCCTTCACAAGGAAAATCCCAGTACAGTGAAGAGACTTTTGAAAAATAGTCTTCGATCTACTTGAAATGTTTCAAAAGGTTTGATTCATCGAGATCATGGGTGGAAGCAGTTAGTCAGTATAATGTTTCTTCTCCACTCAGCCGATCTTTAATATAGAGGTTAGTCAGAACATTAGAGAATTTACATTGTTTAGCGGCTTCACGATATCGGCACAATATATATTTTCTTCTGCTAAACTTGTTGTAGTGACGAATCACAGGCTTCTAACCGAAAACTGATTTTTCAACAAGTCTGTCTCCTCGATCCAGTTCAGAGTTCGAATGGAATAGATCGATCAATTTTGAAAGGTGTCATGAATGTTTCACTGAGGTTAAAGTTTTTGTTTTATTTCTGGAAAAAAAAATATCAAGCTCACTGGGTTTATGTGCTGGTATGGTGGAAAGATATTCAGCCAATAAAGCGTTTTTGACGCACGAAAATTTAGCATTTAATCTGAAACCTCCAGCGGAGAATTCGATAAATTTTCCCTTTGATTCCAAATTTGAGTGGAATAGAGATCATATTTACAAGGGTGTTCTGATGGTTTCAGGTCCCGGAGGGGCACAGCTATATATGGGCTATATAGGTATGTGCCGCTGTGAAGGGTATGGTTTTCAAGCAGTTTACTCTAGGATAGGGTATATAAATCAGAGCGTTTGGGTCTAGAATAGGGTATCATTTCTCCCAAAACTGACTAGTTGGTTGAAGATTTTATCTAGACTAAGGAAACCAGGCATTGCTGCTCAAAAAAATCAAATCGGCAAGTTTAAATTTACGCAAATCAGCCTCAACAGTGTCGATAGATGGGGGGATTTGGGGAGTTTACTCTANCTCTAGAATTAAGAAATTCAATAATTCTACATATTTCGTGTCCGACAACAACGAGTTGTTAAATTTCCAGAAGCCGAGCCTACGAGGGGGTTCGTATTCGGAGAAAGATATAGAGATCAAGACTGCAGAATGGTCAGAATAAATATTTGGAATTATTTTGTTCTCGCAAATTCGATTACTCGGTTGATTTGAAACGAAGAGGTGATCTAGTCTACATTGTATTTTCATTGAGCGATTCGCCCACGTAGAGTCCGGGTTTTTGCAGCGCCAGGTATCGAGCAGATTATGCGTTTTAATCAAAGCCTTTAGTTCAATAGTCGATGCTTTTCTAATGTCAACAGGTTTGCCACCTCTTTTGTCTAAAGTGCCGATTGCGCAATTAAAATCGCCCCCCAACACAAGATTTTCATTTCTATATTTGCCGAGGATAATATTTGAAAGCCCCCTTAGGAATACAACCTGTTGTTTGGATCGTTTGGTGCATAAGCATTAACCAGTACAACTTCTCTATTATCAATAACAACCTCTGCTAAAATATATCTCCCGTGATCATCTGAGGCAATTTTCTCAATGTTTACGTCAAGCCGTGGTTTAAAAATAATCATATCTCCTCTGCTATGAGACGACCCATGGCTAGATACGATTTTGCCTCCCCATTCCGTCTCCCATCTTCCGATAGTATCGAGCGAGGAATAAGTTTCTTGCAAAAAAATTATATCCGATTTTTGTTGATGTAGCCAGCGAAAAACCTGTCTTCGCTTTCTCGAACCGTTTAACCCTGTTACATTTAGCGATATAATTTTATACATTTAGATTCTCTGTAGAAGGCGAAGTCACAATATTCCAGAGAAGAAATTAAGCACTTGTTTATACTATAGTTCTCACTGTGCGGCGAGATATCATAACTTAGTTTTAATTTTCTTTTGTTGACCAAGTTAAAGTTAGATAAATAAATTTGAACATACTTACAACAGAAATACAACAACACACACAACACAAGCTACTCACTACTTCAGACTTTCGTATGCTTTTGTGCGGCGTTTACTGACTGGGTCAAAATTGGGGTACTAGCGGCAGCAATTTAGCAATGGTTGAGTTGTACGGCGGAGCAAGATAGTCAATTAAACATATTTAAAACTAACCGTTCATTAAACATCCGTACAGAGGGAAAAGAGCTGTTTCCGGTTCTCGGTAGAGTGAGCCGTTGATTAAAAGTTTTTCTACCTTAAAGTACGCTTCTTTCTTTTCACGTTTGGCAGCCTTGAGAACGGAGTATAACTTCCTTCTTATCTCATCAACTTCTTATGGAAAGTCGTCGGATATTCCAAAGCTGGTGCCTTTGGGAAAGTTTTTGATGAACAACTTTATGAAGTACTTGTCTTGATAAGCGGAGAGTTTTACTATAATTAGACGGGATCCGGAGTTTCGGCCATCGTGTGTATGCGTAGAAATCCTACGAACTCTGTCAAAGTGTATTTCCTTTACATCGTTAGGTGGAATTTTCAGCTTCGTGGGCATAAATTCCCGTAAAGCAGTCTCGGTATCGCTGTTAGATTCACGTTCTCCCTCCTTCACTCCAAAGAATTTTAAGTTGCCTCTGCGACTTTGGCATTCCCTTAACCTCTTTTTATAACTTAAACCATTATACGTCATCTTTTTTTGCTGAAATACTAGTTTACTAAGTTGGGAAAATCTTAATGAGTTACAATCAAAACGAATTGTTAAGAATGAAAACAAAAAAAATTAAAATAACTGAGAAAACAACGACCGAAGAATTTGAAACTTTTTAGTCAAACCGTAACTATTGGGCAGTCAACTTTGCAATGTCGCAGCGCAATAGTAGAACATATATCGATTGATAGTTTCCTTTGATTGACCTTGTGAATCAGAATGCAAATCTGTTACGAGGAATTCCACGAGTCGTCAGGCATTTTGTGCGAAATATCATAGCTGAAAAGGGTGAAAACGATTCACAATTATCTTTTTCTCTTATTGTAGTTCAATCTGTCATTCGTTGCTACTGACGACAAAGGCGCAAGTGCCACCTGGAGTCCAACAATTAACATGTGCGCCTGCAACCACGGCGGTCAGTGTGTGCAACCAGAAGAAGGTGACAATGTCAACACTGACAGCAAGTTTGTATACATGGGTTGTGCATGTCAGGGGGGATACACAGGAANGGCGGTCAGTGTGTGCAACCAGAAGAAGGTGACAATGTCAACACTGACAGCAAGTTTGTATACATGGGTTGCGCATGTCAGGGGGGATACACAGGAAGGTTCTGTGACAGTGACATTGACGCCTGCGAGAGTAATGGTCAGCCCTGCTATACAGGAGTTGAGTGCATTGATCTTCCACCGCCAGCCAATGCCAGTGGGTATAAATGTGGACCCTGTCCATCAGGATATACTGGAGATGGCGCACAGTGTGCAGGTGAGCTTACAGGATTGGCAGGGTACCTTAAGGATGAAGGAAGTTCGTTTCCCTGTAAGAAACGACGCTTTTAATGAGACCGAAGCTCCTAAAATGATACTTCACACGTCACTTGCAAAAAATTCGGACGATTTCGATTTCAGGCAAAAGGAGTGTCCGAAAATAAAACCGACCAAAATTTTTAACCGTTTAAAATTTTAAGCGTCCGAAATAGTTACAGCAGATCATAAAACCGTGAAGTAGTTCCAAAGCTCTTAGTTTCCTTTATTCCGGGCTTTATAAAGCAAACTCTAGTTGAGACACTGCTTGACATTCGTAACGGTGCATTTGTAAGGCCGTGAGGGTGCAGTAAAACTATCATATTCAAAGATATTGTTTGAGTCTAATTCGTGTTTTGAAGGAATAAATTTACTCTAGCTATATTTCAGCAAAATGTCCGAAATTATTGTCCGAAATTATTAGTTAAAACCTGCCCGAAAATCAAACGTCTGAAATTTTTTGCAGGGAATTTAGTCGGTTTTGAATGGCAGGGGCTCATAATTTATGACTGCCGAGGAGAAATGACCGACAATTTTCCATACCTCTTACACTGTCTTGTTTTACATCCTCTTTCTCGATTTTGATGTGACTGCTGTTATTTATTCGCTTACAAATGTTCTCCGTTTTTCTCCATTTTCCAGACTTTGATGAATGTCAAAATAATTCGTCAAACAACTGTGAACAGCTTTGTGTCAATTTTCCGGCTTCGTTCTTCTGTGACTGTCGCGGCGGATACGAACTAAACGCTGATGGTCGTAGCTGTGATGGTAAGACACTTGCTGAATCGAATTTACATCAGTTAGCTTTTTTAACTGTTTACGTGTAAAGCTCTTTAACTGCGGCGTTATAGGAAGTGCCAAAAAAAAAATTTAAAAAATCATTCTTTCGGGGCTTTATCGATCGTCCGATCATTTTCAAAACAAGGTGCAATGTTTTTCAGTTTTCCTGCGTCCCTAGTCCAAACTTAGCCAATGGCGGTTTTGACTTTCAGCGTGGTCTAAAACCAAGGGATGAAATTTAAGGCTTGAAGAAAAAGCGGGACAGAGTGAAGTTAATCCCTTTCTCAGTACTTCCCATACAGCCTTGTAACAAGAAGGATGACTCTAAGAAAAAAACGTTTATGTTCCGGTCTAAAACTCTTTTACTATTCAATTTAAAATTTGTAAAGGATAAGTCACCTCTGTAAACTTAGTATGAAATAATTAACTAACCATTTTATCGATAGATATTAATGAATGCGAACCTTCAAATGACTGCATGCAGAAGTGTGACAACAGTATAGGAAGCTACAACTGTTCATGTGACGAGTTCTTCAAACCTGATCCCACTGACTGGAGAAACTGTACAGGTGAGTCTCACATCTGTTCAAATATACTTCCTTGTTTTCTGAAGTAGTATCTATGAATAAAAGTGGTAGTATAATAATGAAAAAAGATTTTTAATATAATTATCACAGATTCAAGTTGTTAAAGGAGCTCAGTCTTGGTATTTTGAGTTATTTTGGCCGCGAACAGAATTACCGTATAATTCAACGAAACCTGAAATAGTATTTAGAATAGATAGAAAACAACAAAGAGATCCTGTAGCGTAGTCTAAACGAGACCAAAAGATGATAACACAACGGTTTAATAAAGCTCATAAAAGCCCGCCATTACTAGCCGTAATACAACAACAACTGCATCCGGAATACATCTCATTCTACTAAGCAAACCCGAAGGGCCTATGACATCATAACATCGTTACAGATCCTTGTAAACCATAAAGGAACAAGGATGAAAAGATTTTTGAATCTTTTGTTTGTAATTTTTAAATCTTTTGTTTGTAATCCGTGTTTAAAAACACAGATTACAAACGTCAGACTTGAAAAATTTAGGCTAAACATTTCAAGATGCGTAAACCGTGACGTAGCTCCTTTAAGTAGCTTGGTGCTTCACTTGCAGCACAGTTTCTTGCTTGGTCACGTGATTAACTTTTCTTTACAGCCACAAACCCTTGTAGTCCTGGACATGGCTGTCAACATGTCTGCTTCAAAGGAAGCAATAACCAAGCAACGTGTGCATGTTTTGCTAATTACGAGCTGGAGAATGATGGAAAGGCCTGTAGAGGTACTTGATAGCTTTGTTTTTATCCAGTAATTGTTTTTGGGAGTAGTGGTATAACGTTCCTACAAATCATTAAGATGCACAAGATGTGAGAAGCTCAAGGCATAATCCTGAGCAAATCTCGATTTTTTTTTTCCCTGATTTTTTTATTTTTAATGAGTGTCTTAATTCAGCATGCAGAAGATAGATCTGCTTGATTGTTATAAATGTAGTGTTAAGGCTTTACCATATGCAAGATAGAGTGCGACGGCCCACAACAGCTCAAGTTTGTAGTTGATTGTTATAATGAAGAGTTAAGGCTTTGCCATATACAGAGTGCGACGGCTCACGACAGCTGAGTTGTGTAGTTTCAGAAAATAATTTACTGAAGGAATTCGTCACATTCTCGTGTATAAAATTCCAAATACTCAGAGAACAAGATGATTCAATTAATCCCTTCGAGTCGGAATCCCGAGTAGACTTTTAATAAATTTTACTTTATTATATTAGGGTATGAGCTCGAGATTTCTACTGCATGCAGATAGTTGACAAGGGAGCAACCTGAGCCAGCCATCACGCAAAGAAATGGAAAACGAACAATCTATTGAATAGGGCATTTCCGAGTTACCTTGTGCCTCTGTTTCAAAACGAGTCTTCGTACAAATCTTTCATATGAGTTTGATTTGCATGAAAATGAGCCAGTAGGTGGAACTCAATTTCATATGAAAGGTTTTGCAAGACTTATTTTGACACAGAGGCAAAAGGCAAGTCGGATATGGCCCATTGATTTAGTATAAATCTACTAGTCGTTCAAAACATTATCTAAATCTACTTCCAAAGACACTTCGAAAACGCAAAGAAACCGGCATTTTCATATCAGTCGTTCGCTGTGACTCACTATCTACAACAGAAAAGATAGTGAGCAGCGTAGCCAATAAGAGAACATTTGTGATAGAAGGTTTATAGGTTTATACTAATATTGAATATATACTATAGCAGCACCTTCACTTAACTGATGTAATGAGTTAACAATACAGAAAAATTATGAAATATTAGCTGCTCAGATGGAACACACCGTACAGGTATTAAAATCATTATCTACATATAATTTTCTGTTTTCATTTTCAAAGATATCGACGAATGTGATCCAGCTGATCCTCTCCATCGCTGCAGCCAGATTTGTGAAAATACCCCAGGAAGTTATAAATGTTCTTGTCAAGAAGGATTCGAATTGCACAGGGATGGTTACCAATGTGAAGGTATTGAGCTGCAATCGTTAGTCTTATTTTATTACTTTTGGTATGATGATATATGTTTAAAGCCCTGACCAAAAGGACTCACAAGTTGAAAACTTGGGTCTACTTACGACTCCGTTTGGCCGGGCCTTGCGTGCACTTGCTTTGACTTGCGATGACTTGCGCTCACTTTGGTTGAGACCAAATTTGCACTCAATTTTTTCACCGTTTGATCACGTACGCAACCCAAGTCAACTTGCGGCTACTTGTGACTACTTGCGAGTCCGTTTGGCCAGAGCTTAACAATGAATATATAATGTGCTTTATGTCGAGCCTACAACCGAACTGTCTGACGAAGAAAAAAAAAACGAAAATGTTACTTTATTTGTTGTACTAATTTTATCAGATGTCAATGAATGCCTGGATGGAGACTTGTACAACTGCCCAGATGAGTTCCACAAGTGCGTCAACACTCTCGGCTCGTACAAGTGTGGATGTGAACAAGATCTGTACTTTATTGATGGCAAATGCAGAGGTAATCAGCAATCAATTAGTATGGGTAATCAAATGGTGACGAATGAAATTAGGAAATAATTTCACGCCTGTTTTGTCAAAATTCTTAAATTTCCCCAGTCTTTGGCCGAGACAAATTGTAAGATTTCGACAAAATCCTAATTTCACGAGTGCGCCATTTGATCACCTTTCAGTCGTGGGTAACAAATTACGCTTACAATCATGGGTTTTTGACGTGTTTATTGAATCGACAAAATTTCGCGCAGAACGTTGCCATGGCAATTTTGTAATTCATAAATTAACCCTGAAATTTCGCGCCAAAATTAAGAAGCAATTAGAGCAATAAGCAATAAGAAGTAATTTTCAGTTCAGTGTTGAAAAATAACCGGAAGGGTTCATTTCCGAGTCTTAAGTGCAAAAGCATTCCTGTGAAAATGAGTTCCGCCTACAGCTTCATTTTCATTCAAATCAAACTCATTTTCATAAGAAGGGTTTTGCACGAAGACTCGTTTTGAAACAGAGACACAAGGTAACTCGGAAATGGGCAGTTACCTTGGGTTTACCTCTCTACACTCTGGCTGTGGTTGGCTCAGCTGAGCAGTTTTCACCTGGGTGTCGAAATTAATTCGCGATTGCTCCGGTTATGAATTTCTACTCCAAGTGATTGGTTTAACAAACTCCGGGAAACTTTCTCAAACAATCAGAAGTTAGATCAAAACCAATCGCGAGTTGTCGCACGCTCTGCAGCAACAGCATGAATGTGCCTTGAGTTTTGAATGGTTCACTAAATTTTCTGTGTCCTTTGTGAATGAGCAAAGTTATGTTTTTTTTGGCTTTAAAAGAGATAAAAACGCTTAGACATGAAGTTTCAGCGACATTGGTTTACAACACCTTATTGAAAACCTCACTAAAAGAACTGTGTGACTAAAAAACACGCTCTCTCATAACTTGGATTCTTGTTAAAAGCAAATGTTAAAAAAGTAAGATCGCATCTGCTTACTTTGTAATTTAATCTTTGAAATAAGAGGCCGAGATTGTTTGAGTTCGTTGTTTGCCATACATCCCAGTCTTCGTCAATCTTGGCCATCTTTGTTCCTAGCTTTTTGCTATATTATCGTTGTCTTTGCTGTCTAGAATATCAAAAACAAAACAGCATCTTTAAAATATTCATTTAGGTCTAGAGAGGGATGTTCCACCTCCTAAGCCAGTGTTACCTGAACCGCGTGTGCCATCAAAGAAAGAGAAGGAAGAAGCTGTGCAGTTCGTAATTCCACTTACAAGCGATGTAAGTGTTGTCTACGTAGTAATCAGCCTTGCAATTGCTTCATTGCCTTATATTTCTATTTTTTGCTGATCAAATCATTGTTATATTTCTATCTTTTTGCATTCTGATACCAGCAGCATTTTAGTTTGCGGTCCCTAGCATCATTTGTATTAAGTAATATACTACTTTTTGTAAACTCTTGGAAGCACAGGGTCGTTACAGAAAACTGAGGAGTTGTTTTCGATAACTCCTGGATATATTTCACCTGGACATTTATATACTGTATGACGTGTTTACAAGGCTTAATCAAAAGATTGTATTGACCAGAGCTCCTTTTGTCATCTTTGACAGTTTGAATGGGATTTCGAAAAGGACAAGTCATTCAAAGACAAAATGGCCTCTGTAACAACGGATTTCTGCACTGAGAACAGAACAAGATGTGCCCTAAAGGACGCCAGGCGAAAAAGGTGATCACTGTACTGATTCTTTATCGAATCGCAGAACTACTAAAGAGGTCCACTTCTGAAAAAGACACATTACAAGGGGTGGGGGTGGGGCAACCCGATAAAGTTTTCTACGAGGAGGATATCTTTGACAGAAAAGGTGACCGTTTCACATAGCCGTCATAGACGATATGGTACCCTTTCAATTAATTTACAAACTTTTGGATTGAATAACCATACTACACCAACAGAAATATTGAATTGATTACAGACGGAGTCGTGCAAATTGAGCTAAACTTGAAATCCTGTCTGGCTCAAGGTGATTCCTTAGTATTGCATTGCGCATCCCTACTGCGCACGGTTTTCGCCTCATTAGCGCGCGCACATGAGCGCCTGCGCGTACAAAACGTAAGAGATATCCCTCAAACTAAGCTCGATAGCGCAATAAATGCTCCTTTTCTCTTGAACGAGCACGGTGACCCCCACTTTTTATTTCATAATTTCAATGAGAACAATATCCTCAATAACTGAGAAAAAAAATAGCAGAAATCTATGGCTACTTTTTTGGCAAATGAAATAAATACTACAGAGGGAGACATAACGGGCCCAACAGCACATGTCCAAATTATGTTTCCTTTAAAGGATAAGAAAATGCAGGGTATTTGAATACACTTTTTCTGGGACGTAGATGAATAAACAATCAAAGAAAGTCAAACTCTGTGTGATATAACACGCTGCATTGAAAAATAATCGAGCTTATTTTTTGCGCACGGAGATTACCAAAAGTCACCTAAATAACGGTACTTGTCAGCAGCGTGGCGTGAAAAAAAGCCCGGTGACCTCCTCTTTTTATTACGTTTTAATATCTCCTTGTCCTGTAACAACAGCATACCAAGTTATAGCGGAAATCTATGGCGGGTTCTTTTACTAGGGAATCACCTTTAAATGCGCTATTAAATTGTGACCTTCCATCTTCTTTGTCCGGAATGTTTTTACATTCTTTGAGTATGTCATGTATTGTTTTTCTTTGTTTTGTTTTAAACAAGACAAGATCAAGGTAAGAGAGTGAATCCCCCATATAGGCCTTACACCCAAGGTAATCTCTCTTAATTTATTTTTAGACATGGTACCCAGTTCGTCCTTCGAGAAAGTTGCTTGGGCTGTCCACGCGTCGCGCGAGTAACATATAGTATAGCCCATTAACTCTGTTACCTTGATCTTCTGTTGGTTTTAAAGCGTATGATTTGAGGCCGCTTTGTTCGCGTCTAAGGCCATAAATGTCACACATTTATTAAACTGAAGTAATTGGAATTAGGACTTTGACTAACTCGTGTATTTTTAACATTCAATCTTGTCAGACGTTCACCTTTTTTTGACCTCTACAACGCTGACCAGGTTCACCTACTGCCTGGTTACCCCAGCAACGCATCGGGCTTTCTCCAGGTAGCGTTTTACGTGCAGCAGCCTCTTGGACTCTTTATCGGAAATATCTCGGTCCTGCCTCGCAGTACACTGGTGGACATTGTTATAACTCACAAGTCCGCGCTTGAGACCGCTATTGGTGCAAACATCTCTGATATAGAAGTTATCTTCAAACCTGCCACATCGACCACGTCACCAACAGCGGTACCAGTTGAGCCAAGCAGCGATGTTTGGAAGTGGGCTGTAATTGGCGTTTGTGTAGGAGTGGTGGTCATCATCTTGATTATTGTGATCGTGTTTTGGTGGTAAGATATTAATAATTAACCCTTTGTTGAGCCAGATTCTGATATTTTGGAACTCAAAAAAATGTTGTTAGTTAAAGCAGGGATCGTACAGTTGTGAGAGTGCTCGCCTGCCACCAATGTGACCGGAGCTCGATTGAGTTTGCTACCAGGGTTTTTTTCCGGGTTCTCCGGTTTTCCACCCTGTACACAAACACCAACATCTCCAAATTCCACTTGGACCAGGATAGAGGACTCGCATGCAAATCAACTAAGGCTGTCGTGGCTTCCTCCCTAAATATTGTAATTTGTTAATTTAGATGGCATTGCATGAAGTTATCGTTAATGGTAGGCCCTACTAAGATTGCAACCAATTTATTTCAAGTGCTACTCGGTGAAAGTAAACCCTAAGTGGCAGAAGAACTGTACGTGTTGAGCAAAAGGAACAACAAGAGATAATAAGAGTTAGTTTTTTTTTTTTTTTTCACTTTTAGCCTGAAAAAGAGAGCATTTGGAAACCCACAGGTGAAGCCCATAGTGGATGATGATCCTCAGGAACGCCTAACTTTGAAATCTTTCCACCAGTCTTCAAGCGTATAACGTAGACCATGGAAACGCGTACGTTTGACAGAGTACCTTCTTTCAAACTTGAAACACCGTCATACAGTGCAGTTTTTAACATTTTTACGGTGCCCCTGCCTGCTTTAATTTAGTATTTTTTTAAAGACTCTTTTTAGAAAAGTCATATCCAGAAATCTAAAAAGCTTAAATCTTGTAATCGTTCCCTCAACTCCGTCATAATAAGTATACTCTTTAGTAGTTCATTTAGCATATCTTGTTATAATATGCTATTCAGACTTGTTGCCATTTATAAAATTTTTGTATTACTTGAGTGTTTTNTCCAGTGCGTCACACTCTCAAAGCTCAACGCCGCCTATGTCGACAAATGTCTTAGCAATTTCAACATCGGCAAGTGAAGATGGTTCCTCGTCTACAAGTCCCTTGAAGAGTACATCTCCGTCAGTGAGTCAGACCATCTCTGCATCAAAAAGTGAGTCCTTAAGCCTTTTGTCATTAGTCAATAAATGGGTTCGTTTTCCAGAGTATAATAAACCATTGCAGTGCACCTAGAGTTTCCTATGTTACCAAAAACATGCAACCCAACAATCGATCAAGTTTCGAGGAAAGTGTTCGAGGGATCATTAAAGCACGACAAGACATAGCATGGCATGGCATGGTATGGCATGGCACGGGCATAGCATGTCATGTAGGGTTTGGCCTATCATAGCATTACCTTTACCCTTACCTTAGCAGAGAGAAGCAAATAATCTATAATGGCTGACTATTACAATATAAGAGAGCTAGCACTGTAATACAACCATAGCTATGATCATTCTGGCAATCGTTGTTGCGTTTAACGTTTGTGACCCCAAAATTTAGTATCAAAAACGTTAATAATTAGTGCTGTCGTTTCGTCTTTACATTAGCTACAATGATTGCCGTTTCATCTACTCTAGATAAGTCTCTTGTTTATTCATTACAGATTGTCTCATTATCTACATACATATTTGTATAATTATAAACATGCACTGCTAAGTACAAATACTGTATTTACAGTTTTATTTTTTCTTGTCAGCTACAACAACTCCAGTTCCAACAAGTGAGTACACATAATATCAGCGCAATGGTTCTTTTTATTTCCGTTATTGTAAATGATTTTATGATTCTACGCGAGGGGCAATGAATAGTATCATGTGTAAATAAATGCCAAAAGGCTATTATCGAAGAAAGTTCGAAATGTGACGTTGTACATTTTTAAGTGGCTATCTCGTGCTACAAGCAATATATAGGTTGTATATGTTAATTTTTTTTTTATTTCATTGAAGCGGCTCCACATGCGAACAATATGTATCCATATGGGCCGCAGCAGAATGATAACGAGTTTCGTCTTGAAGACTCTCCTTTCTCCTCCTCCTCCCGCTGCTTGAGGATCGACACGGATTTTACTGGATTTCCATTCTTCTCGGAGAGGCATTACAAGCTGTTTGTAAGTATAGAGTGTTTTCAAAATGATGTCACGGCAGCCATATTGGCATCACCCTGTCGGTGTCCCAAGCCGATACTGATGGTATTGAGCTTTTTTCGTAATTTAACACTCATTCCAGTAAAATTGCATTGCTCCTGGCTACGTAAGTGAAAACGCTCTGTTTGTGGATATTCATGTACGTCTAAAGAACTTTTCGCTTTTATTTACGAAAGTGAGCAATATTCCACCACCGCCTGATTTCAAATGGACAAGGACTGGGTGCGAGTCTGTAAATTATGGGATTAGCAACTATTGATCCACATAGTCATAAAGAGCAGACCAAGCTTTACAAAATCCCCAAGTTTGGTGTAAATGGACCCAATAGTAAGCAAGATACAGCCATTTGAAAATGTCAAAATTTACATAGAAATGTACGACCATGCGAACGCGTGTCCGGATGACTTAACATTTCTTTGTTAATTTTGACGTTTTTAAATGGCTGTATCTCAGTCAAAACTAGTCTGATTAACACCAAACTTGGGGAGTTTTTGAGTCTCGGTGTGCTCTTTCTGACCATGTGGATCAATAGTTCCTTATCCCATAATTTACAGACTCGTACCTAATCGTTCTCGGTTTGAAATCAGGCAATAGAGCTCATGTGGTGACTCTTTAGTGCCTCGATTCATCCTGAAATATAAACTTGTACCTAGATGGATTAATATCCAATCAAGTAGCAGTGCTAATGACAGCTTTCATCTCCATAAGGAAGTAAGACAGAGTTAACCAATAATAAATTCGTACACATGTAATACTTGCTCTTTGCCAAACAAGAGTTGATGTGGTGTGCTTTAATCTAAACACTTTCTCTTCATTTTGTAGATATGCCGCAATGGTATAATCCAGTTGAATTATGAATGGAGCTGGTGGTGGCCACGGAAGTTTGGTGTCTACAGGTGGCTGAGAAATATGGCAATTATCGCACCGTTCTGGGCCACGACCGATACGTATTTTGCCTTCAGAGACAATCATTCTAAGGTATATTATCAAGTGTACAGCCAAACCAAGGAAAGCTCTTCTGAAATACTCGAAATGGCTTCAAACCATGTAAAGCTCTATGGCGACCGTAACAAATTTGCCAACTTTGCTGCTAGTTGGGTTCTTGTTGTGACCTGGTACAATCTCTGTCCATACGATTACGACAACAACTGTCGTTGGGTAAGACGTCTGTTATCCACGTTACTACTACTACCAATGCTATTATTATGGAGAAAACGTTCCGTTAAACGACATGTCGCTGGGTAAACAGCGATTAGTATAGGTTGATTAGTATAGGTTGCGGAAACAGTGAATCGGTAGGGCTTTTGCACGCTCTGACTGGGTAATCAACTAATAACGCTTAGTATAGATTAGTATAGATTAGCATAGATTAGTATAGATTAGTATAGATTGATTAGTATAGGTTGCGGAAACAGTGAGTCGGTAGGGCTTTTGCACGCTCTGACTGGATAATCAACTAATAACTAGCTTTTCCCATAGTGTTACTCCTAAAACTGCTCGCATTGCCGCAGGTGCTGTTTTATGAACTGTTGAGACATTTGATAATTATTACGGTCTTGAATATGCATGTAGCGATCTCGTACGTCCATAAGAAAAAAAACTTTGAAAGTGACAAAAGTCCATTAAACTGAAAAAGAAAAACCTAGAACGTTTTTTTGTCGATCGCCTTATGTCGTCAAGGGACTTGCTGTTGCTGATCGCTGACACGGGTTGCTGCATTTTCTTGCATACTCATTTGCAATCTAATTTTACTTTGATTTCTCTTTCAGAGTAACACTTTTCAGGCTGTCATAATTACGGATGGATTTAACACATTTTTGATGTACAACTACCCTTATGGTGGAATTGAGTGGGTGGTTCCAGCGGATCCGTAAGTGGATTTGCATTGAATCTAATCAGCGTTTTCATGTGAGAAATGATTTAGGCTTTTGCGCCTCAAGATTGGCCATGGCTTAACAGTGGAAATCAATCTATCAATCACTTTTCCCCTCCGTCTAGCCATCAATCTTGTTATTTTGTTACCATTGTTGGTGATGATGGTAATTTTGTTATTTTTTTATTTTTTGGTAATAGTTTTGTTGTTGTTATTTTGTCGTCGTTGCTCGTCTTTCCGCGGAGGGCGTAAGGGAAAAAGCATTCAAATTGTGTAACTTTCATTCTTGCAGGGACAATTACCGTTACTGGACTGGTTACTACGGTCTTCCTGTCGCTGGCTGGAACGCAGGAAATGATGGCAAAGATTATTACAACCACGAAGCGTGAGAAGTTAAATTTACGTCTATATTAGTGTGATAAAGAAGAGCTGAGTTAAGGGGAGTTTAAACAGGGACAATTTCAAACTTATTCTATCGTGGTGTCGTTTACTACAATGAAACTCTTATTCTGTGCTAATTGCAGTCGTCCTACATTACAACAATGAAACTTTTTACACTAGTACAACTACTACGCTTCTTATTGGTAGAAAAAAACTGGCGCCACCTACTCAACCATTCAGAACTAAAACGAAAACCCATCGTGACCCGCTCGCACCTTTTCCCGAGTTTTATAGTGTCAGTTACACATATTTTCTAGAGAGTTTTGATTGGTTCACTGTATTGTCTGTGTCTTCCCTGATTGGCTAGAGCTTCAGCTTTGGTTTTTCGACACTCAAAGAAAAATTGTTCATCTTCTGGAGTAAAAGTGTGAACTTTACTTTCGCTTTTTTCGTATTTCAGCTCGTCTACATTTGCAATGTATGATCTTGATAAGAAAGAAGGAAATACGGGTTCGTTGGGGAGGTACTTTTGGAGGATCGAGGACAGCGATGGGACAAGTGCACTGGAGAAGTGCTTAACATGGGCTGTTCTTAATGAAAACGGGAACATTCGTTACGAGTACGGCCGCTTAATAAAATCAGACCCGGAGATGGCGTGTCCTTGTACTTTTTGGCAGGCGTTTCTGGACTGGGGAAGATTCTCCTGGAGCTGGTGGTATTCGTGGCCTGAATTGTGTTTTGAGTCCAGGCGTTCCAAATTCGTAAATTATAATTCTACACTAACAGGATTAGTTGGACTTCGGCTGAGACAGGAATGTTGCTACTCCACTGACTCGGAAGACTGGGGCTCTCTCAAGCTTGGTCCTCCCGACGGCGGTCACGTGAACGTGACAGCTTTCCATGACTCGTCCAATCACGTGAAAACTTTCTCCTCCGACGAGGAGGCCTACCAATATTGCTGTGTTGATCTATCTTTGTGCAATCTGTTTTACCTCTATCGTCCGTCTGATACCTGTTCCCGTTACAGACCTCCACCAAGACGTACGTGTTACTGCATATTATAGTATGTTGTCATAAAATGTAATGTCATGTCACGTGACATAGCGTGCCACCACGCAACGTCAGCTTAAGTCATGCCATACACTTTTGTTGCTTGATGGTGCCAAAATATTGCCTTAGTTCTTTATTTAACAACGCAACGAGTGCTGCATGAAAACAGGAGCGGACAATGAGGCGGTTCGCGAGTCATTCACGTTTGAGCTCCCGATGCCCAATGGGAGCGCGTGGTATGACGTAATATGACAGTTGGTTCATTGATTTATGTCGAATCAAATCGCATGACGTACGCAAAATCGCCTGTTTTGCAATTTCAAGTAACATTTACTTATTTCGTTGGTTTTATAATTTCCTATTTTCATCACTAGCAATACTTGAGACATCGACTTTTCAGCTCAGGGGCAATCCTACAAGTGACAGCAAAGACTTGCGACTTAGCTAGTAACCCACGTACTCTGTTTAACTGCTCGCTTTCATTCTTAATCCAGGTTGGTTCTGGGGCGATCCTCACGTCAAGACGCTGGATGATGGGAATTACACGTTCAATGGACTTGGTGAATACGTCATGATTGATGCACAAAATGGAACATTCCAGCTACAGGCCAGAACAAAAGCTGCCCAGGGAAATTCAACAACCGCCACTATTTTCTCAGCCGGCGCAGCAAAAGAAGAAAATACAAGCATCATTGAGGTCCGAGTAAAGGAAGGTGGTGAGGGATATTAAAGAGCAATCATACCTCTATTTGTCCAGGGCCCCTCTGGATATCAGCTGGCCTCGTCGCTGAATGGGCCACACTGTCTAAAAAAGTTTACCTTTACCTTTACCTTTATGTCTTGAGATATCAAAAAAGTAGATGCGAAATTTCTGGCTAGACTACATCTGCTTTGTTCAAGAATATTAGCATGTGCGGTATTCTCTCTTTCCTAGAAACCATTGAAAAATAAAACTTCGGCCATTTCTAGTCAATATAGCGTAATTTCTCGTAAATCGAACGATGTTTATAGCCGTTATTTTTACTTTCAAATTTATTGAAACGCAAAAATGTGCAATTGTTTTTCATGTTATCAGGTGGACTCGATATCTTGATAGACAAAGTAAAGTACAAAGACTACGACACGCTGACAAACCAAAGTGTAGAAGTTGATGGAAACCTTTCTCTCTCAAAATCGGAAGAAAACTGTTTGCAGGTTTCTTTCCCGTCAACAATGTCGGTGAATTTCTGTGAGAAAAAGGAGATGCTGTCATTCGTCGTAACTCCTGCAGACGTTTATAAGTACACCACCAAAGGTTTGCTGGGAACGTGGAACGATAACCCGGATGACGACTTTACATTGCCTAATGGAACAGTTTTGTCATCATCTTCAACGTTGAGGGAGATTCACTTCGAGTTTGGTGTAAAATGTAATTATATCTAGAGTTATTTCCTTTCTTGATAGGTTTCTACCGCTGGACAGTTTCTCCCCGCGGTAAATAGAGGATGAACTACGATTTGAAAAATATTTTCGAAAGTTCGAAACTGGCCATTATCGCCAAGGTCTGAGCCTTGCTCAAGTATCAATGTAGTCCTTCATCTCACAGTACAGGTGAATAAAGGATAAACGTTTGGGTGGTGAAAACCCAACCATTAACCATAGTCTTGTGTATGGACACTAGTCAATAATCCAGTTGGGATAAAAATTTATCAATTCTTCTCTAACTTCAGTGCGTAAACATGACAAGATTTAATAAAAACCCTCGTAAGTTTAAGGAGGTTCTTGACCTAAACAGAAGACCGTGGCAACTCTCTTAGAGTTTTCTTCAAAAAAAAAAACCTTCCAAGACAATCTATCCACTTTAATGTGACAATAGCTCTCGTTCCAAAGCCAATCTTCATGCTGTTTTTGATGTTCTTTTAGGGCAAATCAACCAATCCCAGTCACTCTTCACCTATGCTCCAAGTGAAAGCGTGGATACCTTTAAAAACACTAGTTTCGTTCCCATGTTTGCGGATAACATCACGTGGCAAAACGACAGTTTAAGAGTAAAAGCCGAAGAAGAATGTGGTGAAGATTACGAGTGCCTGTTTGATGTGGCCTCTACAAACGATCTGTCTGTTGGTGTGGTAACCAAAGATATCAGCATTCAGTTGGTCAACGAATCGAACGCTCTTAGTAAGTCAAAAAAGGGTTATTCCACTCTTGTATTGCAATGTGTTTCAAAATTTTCCCCTTAGTTAAAATGAGTTACCGTTTAGGTAAGGAAAGAAAACTGCCCAGGAAGAAATTGCTGCTATACACGTCAATCTCTACACTTGGAAAAAACAGCTTTCACTTGCTAAGCTGTATATGCTCGGTTCCGGTTTTCATTTTACATAGTTGGTTGGTGAGTTATATAATTGTTTTCTTTTCACACCCTTCCTTTCAATATTGCTTTTGTAGACAACTTCCCACCCAAGATAGTCACCGAATCAAATGTGATAAATGTCACACTTCATGAAACAGTTGAGCTAAATATCACAGCAGTGGATAACGATACCATAACATTTCGTGTTATTAACAAGCCTCCTGGAGCCACAGTGAACCAAACTGAAAACGTGCTGTACTTTACATGGACTGTTACTTCGTCGCAAAAGGTAGGCTACAAGTTATCTGCTTTCGCTTAAAATGAAAGGAATTGAAAACAGTAAATATTTTTAACTCGAGACGTAGCTCACTTTCTTAACCTCTTTTTATAACTTAAACCATTTGACGTCATTTTTTCCTGAAATACTAGTTTAACAAGTTGGGAAAAATCCTAATGGGTTACAATCAATACTAATTGTTAAGAATGAAAAAACAAAAAACAAAAACAAAAAAAAATGAGAAAACAATGACCGAAGAATTTGAAACTTTTCAGTCAAACCGTAATTCTCTGGCAGTCAACTTTGCAATATTGCAGTGCAATAGTAGAATATCGATTGATAGTTTCCTTTGATTAACCTTGTGAATCAGAATTCAATTCTACTACGAGGAATTCCACGAGTTCTCAGGCATTTTGTGCGAAATATCATGGCTGAAAAGGGTGAAAACGATTCGCAATTATCTTTTTCTCTTATTGTAGTTCAATCTGTCATTCGTTGCTACTGACGACAAAGGCGCAAGTGCCACCTGGAATCCAACAATTAACATGTGCGCCTGCAACCACGGCGGTCAATGTGTGCAGCCAGAAGAAGGAGACAATGTCAACACTGACAGCAAGTTTGTATATATGGGTTGTGCATGTCAGGGGGGATACACAGGAAGGTTCTGTGACAGTGACATTGACGCCTGTGAGAGTAATGGTCAGCCGTGCTATACAGGAGTTGAGTGCATTGATCTTCCACCGCCAGCCAATGCCAGTGGATATGAATGTGGACCCTGTCCATCAGGATATACTGGAAATGGCGCTCAGTGTGCAGGTGAGCTTATAGGATTGGCAGGGTACCTTGAGGATGAACGAAGTTCGTTTTCCTTTAAGAAGCGAAGCTTATAAATATAAGAACGAAGCTCCTAAAATGATACTTCATACGTCACTTGCAAACAGGGTTCGTACAAAGTCTTGAATTCTTGAAAAAGTCTGGAAATTTGCGAACTACTTTTCCAGACCTGGAAAAATTAAAGTCTTGAAAAATGGGATGAAGTCTGGAATTTTTCTCAAGGAGCAGCAGGTGTTTAAAAGCTAGCTGAAATCGTTGCAATGTAGCTGATTTCACTTGAATTAACTTGGCCAAACGGCAAAACACTCTATAATAAATGGCGGTACGGTCGGAAAGTCCAGTCTCTAATGCCCTGCATTGCATTATGATTCATTGTGTTTGTAATGCAGCATGGTTTATTTGTTTCCCGCGTTAGTTGAGCAAAGGAAGCAATATTTGTTCGCGTTCATGTAGCTGTTGTTCTTCCCTGGCTTTTCTTTCGCTTTGTGATAATGGGGAAGTGTGTCTTTAACGGAAAGTGGAAAGCAGATGAAAAATTTAAGGCCAGGATTGCAGCCGATCCTACGTCAAAGACCAAAGCAATGTGTGTTGTTTGTAATAAGGCAATTGATACTTCAAGCACGGGAGAAGCTGCTTTGCAAAGCCACATGATCGGCAAGAAACTCAAGGAATTGAAACTGTCGTCTCGTTCTGTTACACATTTCCTGTCTTCTGGTTAGGAAAATTTAAGGTAAGACCTTAGAGTAAAGTAAAGTTTACATATTTCTGTGGTACTTGAAATGTAGGTTTTTCGAGTTACGTCAAGTCACTTCCATGTCTGGTATGCACAACTATTTTACTAAAGAATATTAAATCCGTTTTCCATTGAGTGTAATCGAGTGGTGGTCTTCCTTTAAATATTTCGTTTCAATGATGTCTACTAAAAGCAACTTGTACATGTACAAGTTGGATGCCATATTTCTTTTGTTTTGTTTTGTTTTGTTTTGTTTTCTTTGTTCCAGTCTTCGTGTAACCAAAAGTCAAGATGCTATTGAAATATTTCTTTATCTGGCTTGATGGATTTATTGCAATGTAATTATATGTTGTAATTCAGTTTAATTCTTTGTCTAAATTTTTATCACTTGTTTTTATACTTTGTGTTTTTGGTTGTGGTTCAATTGATTCTTGGTATAGATTTTATCTGCCTTTGTTTTTGGGTATGGCAATGTATAACAACAAATTTCAAGACCAAAGACAAAAGTCAAGTGAACCACAACATATATGACATACAATTAATTTCGTCATGTACAGTGCATGTACATGTATTCAGTTCCTTAGTTAGCCGCACATGTTTTACAGGAGTGCAATTACCAGAGCTGAATCTGTGGTTTCTACTGCACCAAATCAGCCTATTAGGAACTTCTTTAATGGAAAAGAGGTCCTTTCAGCTGACATTTATTGGGCTCTTCATGTTACATATAAGCATTATTCCTTCAAAACATGACTGCACAAACGTTGATTTCACAGAGAGTGATTAAAGACCATCTCCTGAATGTTGGAGGGGTTACCAAAGTCTCCTTAACTAAAGAGCTCCTTCTCAGTGCAACTCATGCAAGACAGAGGTACCAAGCTCACCTAGATGAAGAGAAAAGAAAGAGAGAGGAGCACAAGAGAGGAGAGAAAAGGAAAGCTGCCCTTGAGGAACTGGATAACTTAAAAGGAGTAAAGAAAAGAATGAAAGCAAACATTGAGTCACTGTTGAAGTCTGCTGACCAATTTGCAGAAGAGGCAGAGTCGACTGGGAAAGTAATTCTCATTTCTAAGTCAAATGCTATGAGACGAAGCGCTAAAGAGAAAGAAGGAGAGTTGAAGTCCATCGAGGAGGCAATAGACAAGAAACTTGAAGCTCTAAAGAACTAGTTCTTGTATCATGAAATAGTTATATATTTCACACACTAATGGCAAAAACCCAAGGACTTTGTTGAAAAAGTGTACTGTTAAAAATTGTTTTGAGAACTGAGGTATTTGCTTTATGGTAGAAATTAGTATACTGCTATGTTTTGGTTGTGTCACTGTAAGTTAACAATTAAACAGCTGAAACTGAATTTTTTTAACTCAATGTTTTCATAGTTAAGACAGTTATTTCTTCTCGGGCCATGAAGAATCTCACTGTTACCTTGAGTCTGGATAATAAACAAAGTGGTGGAAAAAGTCTTGAATTCTGTCCACAAAAAGTGTACGAACCTTGTGCAAAAAATTCTGACGATTTTCGATTTCAGACAAAAGGAGTGTCCGAAAATGGAACCGTCCAAAAATTTTTAACCGTTCGAAATATTAAGGGTCCGAAATATTTACAGTACAGTATAAAACCTTGAAGTAGCTTCAAAGCTCTTAGTTTCCTTTATTCCGTGCTTTATAGAGCAAACCCTAGTGGAGACACTGCTTGACATTCGTAACAGTGCATTTGTAAGACTGTGTGGGTGTAGTAAAACTATCATTTTCAAAGATGTTGTTTCAGTCTTATTCTAATTTGAAGGCGCAAATTTACTCTAGCTATGTTTCAGCAAAGTGTCCCAAATTATTGTCCGACATTTTTCCTAAGTTAGTTAAAACCTGTCTGAAAATCAAACGTCCGAAATTTTTTGCAAGGAATTTAGTCGGTTTTGAATGGCATGGATTCATAATTTATGACTGCCGAGGTGAAATGACCGACAATTGTCCATACCTCTTACATTGTCTTGTTTTACATCCTCATTCCTGATTTTAATGTGACTGCCGTTATTTATTCGCTAACAAATGTTCTCCGTTTCTCTCCATTTTCCAGACTTTGATGAATGTCAAAATATTTCGTCAAACAACTGTGAACAGCTTTGTGTCAATTTTCCGGCTTCGTTCTTCTGTGACTGTCGCGACGGATACAAACTAAACGATGATGGTCGCAGCTGTGATGGTAAGATATTTGCTGGATAGAATTTACATCAATTAGCCTTTTAACTGTTTACGTGTAATGGTCTTTATGAAGTGCCAAAAAAAATTTTAAAAATCTTTCTTTCGGGGCTTTATCGATCGTGCGATCATTTTCAAAACAAGGTGCGGCGTTTTTCAGTTTTCCCGCTTCCCATGTCTAAAGTTACCCAATGGCAATTTCGACTTTCGGCGTGGTCTAAAACCAAGGGATAAAATTCAAGGCTTGAAGAAAAAGCGGGGCAAAGTGAAGATAATCCCTTCCTCAGTACTTCCAATACAGGCTAGTAACAAGAAGGATGACTCTAAGAAAAAACGTTTATGTTCCGGTCCAAAACTCTTTTACTATTCAATTTAGAATTAGGATAAGTCACCTCTGTAAACTAAGTATGAAATAATTAACTAACCATATTATCGATAGATATTAATGAATGCGAACCTTCAAATGACTGCATGCAGCAGTGTGACAACAGTATAGGAAGCTACAGCTGTTCATGTGACCAGTTCTTCAAACCAGATCCCACTGACTGGAGAAACTGTACAGGTGAGTCTGACATCTGTTCAAATATATTTCCTTGTTTTCTGAAGTAGTCTTTACGAATGAAAGTGGTAGTATGATAAAAAAGGGATTTTTAACATAAATATCACAGATTCAAGTTGTTAAAAGAGCTCAGTCATAGTATTTTGAGTTATTTTGGCCGCGAGCAGAATTACCTTAGAATTCAACGAAACCTGAAAATAGTCAGAATAGAATAAGATAACACCAAAGAGATCCTTATAAGCCATAAAGGAACAAGGATGGAAAAGATTTAAAAATGGATTACAAAGGTCGAACTTTAGGCTTAACTTTTTTAAGATGCGCAAACCGTGGCGTAGCTTCTTTAAGTAGCTTAGTGCTTCACTTGCAGCACAGTTTCTTGCTTGATCACTTGATTAACATTTCTTTACAGCCACAAACCCTTGCGCTCCTGGACATGGCTGTCAACATGTCTGCTTCAAAGGAAGCGATAACCAAGCAAAGTGTGCCTGTTTTGCCAACTACAAGTTGGAGAGTGATGAAAAGACCTGCAGAGGTACTTGATAGCTTTGTTTAATCGAGTAATTGTTTTTGGGAGCAGTGGTATAACGTTCGTACAAATCATTAAGATGCACAAGATGGGAGAAGCTCAAGGCTTAACCCTGAACAAACCTTGATTTTTTTCCTGATTTTTTATTTTTAATGAGTGCCTTAATTCGGCATGCAGAAGAGAGATCTGCTTGATTGTTATAAATGCAGTGTTAAGGCTTTGCCATATACAAGAAAGAGTGCGACGGCTCACGACAGCTGAGGTTTGTAGTTTCCGATTATAATTTAAGAAGGAATTAGCTACATTGTCTTGTGCAAAATCCCAAATACTCAAAGAACAAGAAGATGATTCAGTTAATTCCTTCGGGTCGGAATCCCGAGTAGACTTTTGATAAATTTTACTTAATTTTATTAGAGTATGAGCTTGAGATTTCTACTGCATGCAGATAGATGACAAGGGAGCAGCCTGAGCCAGCCATCACGCAAAGAAATGAAAAACGAATAATCTATTGAATAGGGCATTTCCGAGTTACCTTGTGCCTCTGTTTTAAAACGAGTCTTCATATGAGTTTGATTTGTAGGCGGAACTCAATTTCATATGACTGGTTTTGCAAGAAGACTCATTTTGACACAGAGGCAAAAGGCAAGTCGAAAATGGCCTACTGATTTAGTATAAATCTACAAGTCGTTCAAAACATTATCTAAATTTTCTTCTTCAAAGACACTTCGAAAACGCAAAGAAACCGGCATTTTGATATCAATCGTTCACTGTGACTCACTATCTACAACAGAAACGATAGTGAGTAGCGTAGCCAATAAGAGAACGACATTCGTGCTAGAAGGTTTATAGGTTTATACTAATATTGAATATTATAGCAGCACCTTCAGTTAATTGATGTAATGAGTTAACAATACAGAAAAATTATGAAATATTAGTTGCTGAGATGGAACACACCGTACCGGTATTAAAATCAATTTTCTGTCTTCATTTTCAAAGACATCGACGAATGTGATCCAGCTGATCCTCTCCATCGCTGCAGCCAGATTTGTGAAAATACCCCAGGAAGTTATAACTGTTCATGTCAAGAAGGATTCGAATTGAACAGGGATGGTTACCAATGTGAAGGTATTCAGCATGTAATCGTTAGTCTAATTTTATTACTTTTGATATGATGATTTATGCTTAAAGCTCTGGCCAAAAGGACTCGCAAGTAGTCGCAAGTTGAAAACTTGGGTCTACTTGCGACTCCGCTTTGCCGGGCCTTGCGTGCACTTGCGTTGAATTGCGATGACTGGCGCTCACCTTGGTCGAGATCAAATTTGCACGCAAGTCGACGCACGTTTTTCACCGTTTGGTCACGTACCTAACCCAAGTCAATTTGTGGCGACTTTTGACTACTTGCGAGTCCGTTTGGCCAGAGCTGAACAATAAATATATAATGTGCTTTGTGTCGAGCCTACAACCGAACTGTCTGACGAAGAAAAAAAATGAAAATGTTACTTTATTTGTTGTATTGATTTAATCAGATGTTAATGAATGCCTGGATAAAGATTTGTATATCTGCACGGATGAGTTCCACAGGTGCGTCAACACTCTCGGCTCGTACAAGTGTGAATGTGAACAAGATCTGTACTTTATTGATGGCAAATGCAGAGGTAATCAGCAATGAATTAGTATGGGTAATCAAATGGTGACGAATGAAATTAGGAAATAAATTCACGCCTGTTTTGTCAAAATTGTGAAATTTCCCCAGTCTTCGGCCGAGACAAATTATAAGATTTCGACAAAATCCTGATTTCACGAGTGCGCCATTTGATCACCTTTAAGTATCGTGGGTAACAAATTACGCTTACAATCGTGGGTTTTTGACTTGTTTATTGAATCGAGAAATTTCTCGCAGAACGTTGCCATGGCAATTTTGTAATTCATAAATTAACGCTGAAATTTCGCGCCAAAATTAAGGAACAATTAATTTAAGTAATTTTCAGTTCCGTGGTGAAAAATAATTGGAAGGGCCCATTTCCGATTCTAAGTGCGAACGCATTTCTGTGAAAACGAGTTCCGCTTACAGGTTCATTTTCATTCAAATCAAACTCATTTTCATACGAAGGGTTTTGTACGAAGACTCGATTGGAAACAGAGACACAAGGTAACTCGGAAATGGCCAGTTGCCTTAGGTTTACCTCTCTGGCTGTAGTTTGCTCAGCTCAGCAGTTTTCACTTGAGTGTCGAAATGAATTCATGATTGCTCTGGTTTTGCATTTCTACTCCACGTGATTAGTTTAACAAACTCCGGGCAACTTTCTCAAACAGTCAGAAGTCAAATCAAAACCAATCGCGACTTGTCGCACGCTCTGCAGCAACAGCATGTATCTGCCTTGAGTTTTGAATGGTTCACTCAATTTTCTGTGTCCTTTGTGAATGAGAAAAGTTATGTTTTTGGCTTTAAAAGAGATATAAACGCTTGTACATGACGTTTCAACGACATTGGCTTGCAACACCTTATTGAAAACCTCACTATAAGAACTGTGTGACTAAAATGCACGCTCTCTTATAACTTGGTTTCTTGTTAAAAGCAAAAGGCTAAAAAAGTAATATCGCATCTGCTTGTTTTGTTATATTATTGTTGTCTTTGCTGTCTAGTGTATCAAAAACAAAAAAAAAAACGTCTTGAAAATATTCATTTAGGTCTAGAGAGGAATGAAACAGCTCCCAAGCGAGTGTTACCTGAACCGCGTGTGCCATCAAAGAAAGAAAGAGAAGAGGCTGTGCAGTTCGTAATTCCACCCACAAGCGATGTAAGTGTTATCTACGTAGGACTCTACGTAGTAATCAGCCTTGCAATTGCTTCATCGCCATATATTTCTATTTTGTGCTGATCAGATCATTTTTATATTTGTATCTTTTTGCTGATACCAGCAGCATTTTCGTTTGGGGTCCCTTGTATCATTTGTATTAAGTAATCTACCAAATAAACACAAACAGTTTATAAACTCAATAACACTAAACTCTTGGAAGCACAAAGTCGTTACAGAAAACTGAAGAGTTGTTTTCGATAATTATAACTCTTGGATAAATTTCACCTCGACATTTATATACTGTATGACGTGTTTACAAGGCTTATTCAAAAGATTGTATTGACAAGAGCTCCTTTCATCATCTTTGACAGTTTGAATGGGATTTCGAAAAGGACAAGTCATTCAAAGACAAAATGGCGTCTGTAACAACCGATTTCTGCACTGAGAACAGGACAAGATGTGCCCTAAAGGACGCCAGGCGAAAAAGGTGATCACTGATTTTTTATCGAATTTCAGAACTACTAAAGAGGTCCACTTCTGAATAAGATACATTACAGGGGGTGGGGGTGGGAGGAACCCGATAAAGTTTTCTACGAGGAGGATATCTTTGACAGAAAAGGTAACCCTTTCAAATAGCCGTCATAGACGATATGGTGCCCTTTCAATTAACTTACAAACTTTCGGATTGAGTAACCATACTACACCGACAGAAATATTGAATTGATTACAGACGGAATCGAGCAAATTGAGCTAAACTTGAAATCCTGTCTGGCTCATTAAAATCCGCTATTAAATTGTGACCTTCCATCTTCCTTGTCCGGAATGTCTTCACATTCTTTTAGTATGTCATGTATTGTTTTTCTTTGTTTATTTTATTTTGTTTTAAACAAGAGAAAATCAATATAAGAGAGTGAATCCCCCATATATGCCTTACACCCAAGGTAATCTCTCTTAAGTTATTTTTTAGACACGGTACCCAGGTTGTCCTTTCGAGAAAGTTGCTTAGGCTGTCCACGCGTCGCGCGAGTAACATAGAGCCCATTAACTCTGTTACCTTGATCTTCTCTTTGTTTTAAAGCATATGATTTGAAGCCGCTTTGTTCGCCTCTAAGGCCAGTTCAATGTCACACATATATTAAACTGAAGTAATTGGATTAGGACTTTGACTAACTCGTGTATTTTTAACATTCAATCTTGTCATCAGACGTTCACCTTTTTTGGACCTCTACACCGCTGACCAGGTTCACCTACTGCCTGGTTACCCTGGCAACGCATCGGGCTCTCTCCAGGTAGCGTTTTACGTACAGCAGCCCCTTGGACTCTTTATCGGAAATATCTCGGTCCTGCCTCGCAGTACACTGACAGAGATCGTTATAACTCACAAGTCCGCGCTTGAGACCGCTATTGGGGCAGGCATCTCTGTCTTCAAACCTGCCACACCGACCACGTCACCAACAGCGGGACCAGATGAGCCAAGCAATGTTTGGAAGTGGGCTGCTATTGGTGTTGGTTTAGGAGTGTTAGTCATCATCTTGATTATTTTGATCGTGTTCTGGCGGTAAGATATAATTAACTCTTTGTTGTTTCTTTGTGATACTTTGGAAGTCAACGGAATCTCAACAGTAGTCAGCTCGTTAATGGTTAGCCCTGCCAAAGTGTTTCGTGGAGGCGCCGTGGCCTCTTGGCTAGGCGCTTGACTAACCATGGATCGAGCGGTCCAGGTTGGTGCCCTGGCTGGGGACATTAATTGTATTGTGTGGAAAGACACTTGACTCAAACAGTGGCTTTCTTCACTCGGGTGTATAAATGGGTACCGACGAATTTGATGCTGGAGGTAACCCTGCGATGGACTATCATCCCATCCAGGGGGGAGTGGAAATACTCCCAGTCACTTCATTCTACAGAAACCGGGATAACCCCCGCCCTGACTGTCCCTGATGAGCCACTTGGCTCGTACGCAGTCTTTATCTTTTTTTAGCCTACTAAAATGCCAAAGTGCAGATAATCAATGTCTCCCGAGTACCACTCGAGAGAAGTGGAAGAAGAGTTCCGTTGAGCGAAAGGTGCAGTTCTTTTCCTAATTTTTGTTTCATTTTTAGCCTAAGAAGCAGTCTACCAGAGGTGAAGCGCATGCCATCTGATGATCATGAAGAAGTCATAACTATGACATCTTTCAACCGATCGTCAAGACCAAAACGTGGAGACGAGTGGGGGAGTTATAACTTCTATCAACCTTAACTAGTACTCTCTACAGCATTTAGCATATCTAATTAAAGAACTTGTTCAATGAATATGTTTTTTAAGACAAACTATAGCACAGTGGAATCCTGATTTCTCGAATCCTCAATTATTCCAACCTCCCGATAACTCCAACCAAAAGTCGTTTCCCTCTCCTCAGTCAAACACTGTAATTTTACCCCCGATTTCTCGAACGTATCGCTCCGATCTTTAAAACCAATTTTCGTTTCCCTATGTGGTTCGAAGAATCGGAATTCCACTGTATTTTTTGTTTTGTTGAGGTATGACCCACTCTAACTCGCCTTCGCTGCCTGCAGGCATGCCCAAATTTGNTCATTTGCAATCTAACTTTACTTTAATCTCTCTTTCAGAGTAACACTTTTCAAGCTGTCATAATTACGGATGGATTTAACACATTTTTGATGTACAACTACCCTTATGGAGGAATTCAGTGGGTGGTTCCAGCGGATCCGTAAGTGGATTTGCATTGAATCCAATCAGCGTTCTCATGTGAGAAATGATTTAGGCTTATGTGTCTGAAGATTGACCATGGCTTAATAGTGGAAATCAATCTATCAATCGCTTTTCCCGTCCGTCTAGACACCGATCTTGTTATTTTGTTACCATTGTTGATGATGATGATGATAATTTTTTTTTAATTTTTTATTGTTGATAATTTTGTTGTTGTTATTTTGTTGTCGTTGCTCGTCTTTCCACTGAGGGCGTACGGGAAAAAGCATTCAAATTTTGTAACTTTCATGCTTGCAGGGATGATTACCGTTACTGGACTAGTTACTATGGTCTTCCTGTCGCTGGCTGGAACGCAGGAAATGATGGGAAAGATTATTACAACCACGAAGCGTGAGAGTTAAATTTACGTTTATATTAGTGTGGTGAAGAACAGCAGAGTTAGCGAGAGTTTAAACATAGGGACAATTTTATACTTATTCTATCGTTGTGTCGTCTACTACAATGAAACTCTTATTCTGAGCTAACTGCAGTCGTTGTACATTACAAAAATGAAACTTTTACACAAGTATAACTACTACGCTTCTGACTGGTAGAAAAAAAACTGGCGCCACTTACTCAACCATTCAGAACTAAAAACAAAACCCATCGTGACCCGCTCGCACCTTTTCCCGCGTTTAGTGTCAGTTACACATATTTTCCTAGAGTTTTGATTGGTTCACTATATAGTCTGTGTCTTCCCTGATCGGCTAGAACCTCAGCTTTGGTTTTTCGACACAGTGAAAAATTGTTCATCTTCTGGGGTAAAAGTGTGAACTTTACTTTCGCTTTTTTTCGTATTTCAGCTCGGCTACATTTGCAATGTATAACCTTGATAAGAAAAAAGGAAATACAGGTTCGTTGGGGAGGTACTTTTGGAGGATTGAGGACAGCGACGGGAAAGGTGCACTGGTGAAGTGCTTAACATGGGCTGTTCTTAATGAATACGCGAACATTCGTTACTGGTACGACCGCCTAATAAAATTAGACCGGGAGATGGCATGTCCTTGTACTGAGTGGCAGGCGTGGCTGGACAGGGGAAGATTCTCCTGGAGCTGGTGGTATTCGTGGCCTGAAGTGTGTTATGAGTCCAGACGTTCCAAATTCGTGTTTTATTATTCTACTCTAACAGGATTAGTTGGACTTCGGCTGAGACAGGAATGTTGCTACTCCACTGACTTTGAAGACTGGGGCTCTCTCAAGTTTGGTCCTCCTGACGGCGGTCACGTGAAAGTGACAGCTTTCCATTACTGGTCCAATCACGTGAAAACGTTCTCCTTGGACGAGGAGGCCTATCAATATTGCTGTGTTGACATACCTTCGTGCAATCTGTTTTATCGCTATCGTCCGTCTGATAGCTGTTCCCGTTACAGACCTCCACCAAGACGTACGTGTAACTACACATTATAGTATGTTGTCATAAAATGTAATGTCGTGTCACGTGACATAGCATGCCACCACGCAACGTCAGCTGAAGTCATGTTATACACTTTTTGCTTTATGGTGCCACAATATTGCCTTTTAAGCTCTTTATTTAGCAACGCAACGACTACTGCATGAAAACACGACCGGACAATATGGCGGTTCCCGAGTCATTCACTTTTGAGCTCCCGATGCCCGATGGGAGCACGTGGTATGAGGTAACATGACAGCTGGTACATTGATTTATGTCGAATCAAATGCAAACGGAAATCGCCTGTTTTGCTATTTCAAGTAAAATTTACTTATTTCGTTGGTTTTATAATTTCCTAATTTTCATCACCAGCAATACTTAAGACATCGGCTTTTCAGCTCGGGGCAATCCTACAAGTAACAGCAAAGACTTGCGACCTTAGCTAGTTACCCACGTACTCTGTTTAACTGCTCGCTTTCATTGTTAATTCAGGTTGGTTCTGGGGCGATCCTCACATCAAGACGCTGGATGATGGGAATTACACGTTCAATGGACTTGGTGAATACGTCATGATTGATGCACAAAATGGAACATTCCAGCTACAGGCCAGAACAAAAGCTGCCCAGGGAAATTCAACAACCGCCACTATTTTCTCAGCCGGCGCAGCGAGAGAAGAAAATACGAGCACCATTGAAGTCCGAGTAAAGGAAGGCGGTGAGGGATATTAAAGAGATTTAATGTAAAGCAATCAATCCTCTATGCCTTGAGATATTAAAAAAATAGATGCGAAATTTTTGGCTAGACTACATCCGCTTTTTTCAAGAACATTAGCATGTGTGGTAATCTCTGTCGACTTAGAAACCATTGAAAAATAAAACTTCGGCCATTCCTAGTCATTATGGCGCAATTT